ACGATTGAGGTAATCGTCTGTGTAAGAAATACATGATAACGTGTTTTCCAGCAACTTATTCTTAGCTTCCGCGGCGCGTGGTCTGAAGGAAAAAAAGAGTCAATAAACGTCTGAGAATATTTCTTATCCATATCTGACATGTCAATTCTAATTCTCCTCGGCAAGTCGTCTCGCGGATATTTTTCTTTCTCTCACGTGGAAAAAAACGAGTTTGTCGTAATTAACGACAAAGATTTCTATGTTATCTAAGCGCATTTATAATAATTGCACTTCTAATAAACAAGCGTGTTTAACGCGTTGCGAATTCGAAGCAGAGGCATTTTGAAGGAGAAAACGAAAAGTCAGGAATAAATTCTGACTATAAAACTTTACGAATTTGAAAATTAGAAGATGAAACCCGAACGCAAGTTAGATTGGCCGGTAAACACTTTTTATTGCGAGAGCTGAGATGAAAATCATGATTTAAGGCGAGATTCAGGGCAACTCGGTTATTTTTGCGTGGAGTGTCATTCGCGAGCGCCGTCATATGTGCAGGCAACGAGCAATCGTCGAGAAACGCGCGGCACCGCTATTTTTATGGGAAACCCTGAAGACCCGCCCGCTATACCCGACCTTGATCCAGATATTCGAATCGAATGGTCATCTGCTTCGGAAATCGAAGCGATATTTCTCCCGTTTATGCGACTTTTTATTTGCTCAAGATATTGTAACGTCTATAATCGGAACGGCGTTTCGGACTTTCATAAGAATCAACTCGTCCGCAAGGTCACCGCTTGCCTATGTAAAACTCGTTCGATATAACAGACTCGCGATAGACTCTTCTTCCGCAAAATTATCCTCACTTCGATTTACGGTACGCCGAGTATGTATGACTTCGCACACAGGCGCGCAAGTGTTTCCCATTATTGTTTCGTTGCGAACGCTGTTAACTTACGCGTCCAACAGATCCCGGAAACTCCTGACGCCAAGTTGGTCCAAACTGTCGGTCGCATTTGCCGGATCAGCTCGGAGCTGCGTGCTCGCATCTCGCCTCGTGTCACGCCTCGTGATCTCTTCTTCTGCCTGTGAAAAAATGCGATTCGTATGTGAACAAAAGAGAACGACAAAGAAAAAAAATAGAAGAAAACCGTGAACGCGTAAAATCGACGAGCGCGTGTATCGCTTTGTCATGAAAATCGGCATTCACTGCAAACGCGGTCATCCGATCTGACTATGGTAATGCCGCGACAGGTATGACGCGCGTGTCAAGGCGATTATTTAGTGCCTTATCAACATCAGTTATGTTCGAGGTAAAAGAAGAATTTCGAAAGAAAAATGTACCGGATACAAAACTAACCATATGCAGTAGAAAAGCTGCTTTGTGTTTCAATTCGTTGACCTTGTTAGCTCTTTCGTTCGTGTCTTGCGGGTAAGATGAGTCGTCGATGAAACCTCGCACCGTAACAAAAAACTGTTTAACTCTGAAAATAAATCGCAAACAAAACGTAAAGCAAGCTCGATCGAAGTTGTGCAAGGAAACCGATTAATAGAGGAGAAATAAAAAATAATTAAACTGAAATATAATGACTTTTCTAGATCTTCCAATGTCGCGGAAATCGCGGCGTCGTATTCATTCAGTTCTTCCTCCAGTGCTTGTATGTCGTCCTCTCCGCTGCGTTCAAATGTGAAGCCCTAAAATACGTAAAGTATAGCGTTAAAAAAAAAAAAGAACTTAAAATCTCTATAACAAATGTTCACGTGTCACCGTTGTTCCGGTAGCACACAGATAATCGTCGCAATTAATTTATTACGCGTTAAAAAGAGTATCGAGTCAAAATGAATGTTTTCACTTACCGACGTCTTCAACTCTGCGTATAATGAATCTTGAAGCGGCACTTCCTCCGATTTATAAGGCGTGCTATGCATGTTACATCTATTTGTGTCCGGAATTGGCGACATCGAAAACTGTAAATATAATCGTGCCGATTATACCACGAGAAATATGACTTTTATACGATTTACATTTCCGTAACATTAACTAATAGCTTACTCTTTCTTTGGGCGCCAAAAACACGCTAGAAGATGACAACGACAGCAGTTCCGCATTTTTGTCCACAAGTTCGCGATTCTTTTCCCGCAGTTCCTGCAGTATATACATTTCTCGCTGTAGAGTATTATAATTCGTGGCTGTACGATATACATACGGAACAACTTAAACTTACGTAAATGTCGCGTTCATAGCTCTCCTTCATGTTATTATTCGTGTCCTTGAAATTAACCACCATGGTTTCTAATTGTTTGCAACTTTCATCCTTTTCGTTAACTTCCTTCTGCATTTTGCTGAGTTTTTTCATACAATCCATTTTCTCTTTGGTGATCTTCTCCAGTTTTTCTTCCAAAGATGATATAGTATGTACCTATTCATTTGTACGCGAAAACAAAGTGTTTAAAGATTTAACATAAAAAAAGATTCCTCATAACTAAATATTTGTATATTCAACGATTTATATTCAATACCTTGAATATTTATATTCGGATATTAGTTGGGAAGGATTATGCAGAGAAATACAAAATGAAAATTTAATATCTTTCGATCGCGCAGATGCGTACATCTATGAATCTATTTATACGTCCGAACGGAAGTCATAAATAAGTCCCCATAAAATAATAAGATGCAATTAGTTTTACCTCAATCTGCGCGGCTTCCAATTTCTTCTTCAACTTCTCATTCTCTTTCATATATTTCCGAAGGGCTGAGGACATGGTCTCTTCCCTTTCATTTAATTCATTTATTTTAACTTTCTGCTCGTCGTTCTCTTTTTCGACTTCCTGACATTTCTGAATGTAGTACTTTCTGCATCGATAAAACGCATAACATAAGTATAAATATCGTAGAAATGTTTATATAAATAAAATAAAAGATTTTTCGAATTTATCCACGAACATCAGTTGGAAACACTTAAAAAAGGCAAAGTTAATCATACGCACAGCTTATTCTCAGTAGTGCTGCATTGTTGTTTGAAACTGTCGATCAACGCCTGGTACCGCTCGAGCTCGTCGCGAAGGAAAATGTTCTCCTCAGAAACTGCACGTAATTTCTCACGGAGCTCCAATTCCACGATATCTCTATCCACATCCATGGTTTTCATCGAAGAGTCTGCATCGCTCACGAAGCTACAATAATTAGTGTACGTCGTGTTATAACGGTCGTTGTACAAAAAACAATTATTATTAAATGATGTATAACGCACATCCTATGTTCTTAATGTCAAACACATTAAATTTGCCATTATGTTTTTATTTAATATATTTGTTTTATGCGCGCATTACATTTTACATTACCTACGCTTTTATGTACGATATATATGTCAGAAGAACCGATCGTTTATCCATACCAAGCAGTTTATAATCAAAACGTTAATTAAACGCCACAAATCATGTAAAAAGTAATCTAATATATCTTGTAAGTCCAAATTCAACGAATAGAAAAAAAGACATAATTGGACGCGCGCGCATTTAATAAAATAATACGTTGCCAAAGAAATTAAAATCCATCATATTAAAATATAATCCATCTGTTATCCATATGTGTTAAATTCGCATTATAATATTATCGTGATCGCGGCGTGGGCCTAATTTCCCGCTTACTTCTTGTATCGATCACAAATCATAATCGGTCAAGCTGATGTTGACGGTGCAGGATCGAATGCGCCTGTCACTATCAAAAACATGTCAGCATCGCGTCGATGATTTAACTCGGAGCTCCTCGACAATTAACATTTGCGACAGTAATCGAGTCATTGCGTTTAACAACTCTGTGGAAACAGGATTCGCAAGTGCGCTTAGCGCGCGATCGATCGCGCGTGGAAGACACGTAAGTAATTCCAAAAATAAATCGGCCGATTTCCTCCCGTTTAGCCGATCGCGGGAACGATCGCGGTTCAGCGCGTTAACGAGATCACCAGATATGACCATAGGCGAGCAGCGACTGAACACCTCACGCGAATTGCATAAGATATATCGAGTGCCGATTTCCAGCTGCTATAATATTCGCGCGTCACACAACCGCAAGAATAACACCTGTGTGTCGCTTACTCGACTCTATCGGGATCGACGGCAAGAAAAACCGGCGGCGGTCCGCAACTCGTGGAAAACTTTCGAACTTAACCGCGAGAAGATATACATACACACGTACACGTGCGAGGAATGCTTGTGCGAAGTAAACACTCTTTCCGTCAATTCGTCGGTCATTTTTTCGCTTCGCGCTTATGTCGATCGTATCGAATTAAACGCGAGATTTCGGCACGCGTGTTCTCTTTCTCGGCAGGCAATCGCGACAATTACTTTTATCGCGAGCGGCGTATACTTAGGCTGCATACAAACGATCGGCTGCGTACGCACGCATGGTGCACGTGGCATTACTCGTTCGAGAAAATTCGAATGTAATTAGATAGAAATAAGAAATATAATCGAATTGCGTGCTTTGGGCAGATCTCTCATGCGTGAACTCTCTGACAAATTCATCTCTTTTTATTTCACGTTTGTCGCGTTAATATAAGTGCCCTATTAAACGCACGAACCGCATGAACAGATTTCTCGGTCAATTTTGAGCTTTTCATTATATGAGATTTGAATCTTATCGGCTTTTTCGGACAGGGTCGCTTTTTTAAATTTAACGAGCGGTATACGTCGCTCGCTCTATATACGCATGTAAGTAAAGAAAGTAAACTGGCTCGATGCTCGCGATAAACATTTGCATACGCATGTTTGCATTCGTGCATGTACATGTTTGTCTGTTACGCGTATCGCATGCTCGTAGAACCGCGAATAATTTTTCAACGTGTCTAAATGAAGGTAGCGTAGTCGACTTAAGCGAGACCCGAGGTGTTGCACGATCGAAGCAGTCCAACCGCTTATCTAGCATTCGCGATAATGTCGCGGTGTATTGAATGGGCGAGGAAAAATATTACCGTCCGCATGCGTTTTACGATGTCTTCCAGAAATAATCCATAAGAACGGCGGCCAAAGATCGCGTTAATGTACGTCGCGACTGAAAACTTCGCGGTATATAAATCCATAGGTTTATGCTATACGTAATAATAAAGCCAGGTATGTGTGTATGTGTGTGTGTACCCGTCTATTTGCTCAAACGGTGTCGATCGAAAACGGTTAAACGAATCCGTTCGCGACAGTGCCACTAACAGTAATACAGGTAACCCTCGAATAACACGGTGATACTTGACGAGTTGCACGAATTTGAAATAACACGGTCACTCAATAAAAGAAATCGCAAATGCAGAGGTAGAGCTTATGTTGTTTTTTAAAAGTTCTTTTTTATTAATAATCCCTTGGAACTACATGCCCGGGGAATTTTATATGAATCTGGTCTTGAATTGCACGATTTATAATAAAAACAGAACCAATTAATCGTGTTATTCGCGGTTTACCTGTTTACTCTCCGCGCGAAGAGCGCGAATAACTCGGTTAGCCTCTAATCAATTTATCTGCCAACCGCGCCGCGTTACTCTTTTTCCCGGTCGGAACGCGCGTTCCACGTATCGAGTTCACGGTTCACTGGATCGCGCGCTGTTACATCGTCCACGCGATAGTTTCGCGTCGCGGTTTCTTAATCTACGGCGCAATTCCCGAGCCGCATTAAAGGCATGGACGAGGATCAATGCGTTGCCATTTAAAAGGCGCATCCGTCCCTCGTTTTTCTCTCCGACGATAATTCTGCGTCTCTGATTACCGAGTGGCGATCGGGTCAAATCAGTCTCGCGGAGTCGCGCGTTTATAAGCGTGTGACGTTTTTTTTCTTTTCTATTCTAAACAGATGCTTCCGCTTCCTCTTACTAGAGTTTCTCCCGGGCATTGCTATTGCTGTCCTGTTGTATCTTGGCGATCCAGCACTTCGTCGCCTCCTTGAATTGATGTAAATTCACGCGATTGCTCGTCGAAACGGCGGTCAAACACCTCCATAATTCTTCCAGATTGTCGATCCTATCGATCAAAATTGACACGTTATGTTACAATTTGTAGAGACGAACCTTCTCGCGGAAATCGATCTACAGCACAAATTGCACAGACAACACTAAATATCAATGAATGCCGTGCTTATTTACGTGCACATATATCAAAACGCACGCGGCCCGGCCCGGAAACCGTGACAGTTCGGTCCGCCTTGGCTTGTATACTTCGCGTGGCTGTCCGTAACTCGTCTCGCGAAAATGTGCACGTGTCCTACACTTAAAGCCGTGCGCCAAGTCGTCGATCGCGTTTGTCCTTGTATCGATTAGCCGTACACACACCGGCAATTTGTTTCCGAGCTAGCTAGAGGTATCGCGGTCGCGTCTCACAATCGTCAACATTGGCGAACGGCGTGTCTGTGCGTAAGGGAAAATAACGTTTCTGCTTCGGGCGCGGACACTCACGACAGGTTCGGCAATTCATCCTGAACGTATTTGATGAATCTGATGATCGGGATCGCGTCGCTCGTCGAATCCGGCGTCGATATAAAGTCGTTGCATTCCATGAATATCTGCTGCAAAACTGGAAAAAAACGACGGGTTGATTTCCGGTCACTTTCCGCGCTCTCGAAAAGAAAGATCTGTATATTCAATTCGCGATGAGTTACGTCCATCGATGTAGAGATTAACTTCAATCTCGGGTTAACTTATCTTTTTCTAGTTCTAGTTGAAAAAAGATAAAGGTAAACAGAGATTAAAAATTAATCTTCATTTGTGGAAATGGACATTTAGAGACGATTTGGACGAGGCACTCGTACGAAATAGCCCTACGAATTAATCCTCAGTTGGAATCTCTACGACTTTTCTATACAGAGTTAAATTCTGTTTAAAAACACTCTGCCTTTTGGACATGAAAAATAATTGCTCTCCACTCTGTACGTGCGCTTACCGTACTTTCACCCTTTGCAACATCGCGTTATTAATTTTTAAATAAAATTTGATTCTGTGCAGAAAAGTGGCAGAAGTCGCAGCTAGTCCATGCATATGGGCATTAAAACCCGTAAATTTCAGATCGAATTGAACGCGACAAAAAAGGTCTGGTCCCAGGAAACGGTTGTTCGAGCTTCAAGCGGGACGTCAGTGATCTCTACGAGTACCTCGATATTCGCACAACGCAGAATTTTCGACTTCGGGTCGAGCTGGAAATTTCATCGGCGAGTCGAGTGAAAAAATTACCATTCTCCAATTCGGTGTCCAGGGTGTCCCCCGTCTCCGCGGACATGGTGTCGCTGGACTTCCGCGAACCGTTGCCGAAATTCTGCACCGATTCTGCGAAAGATAGATATACACATATACACATACAGAAGGATACTCGATTTGTATTTTCACAGGGGCCGCGAAAAGACGCCTTTGTCCCGACGTTTTTGTAATCTCGACGACAAAGGAACCAACTGAAAAGCCGGGCTGCCGGGAATCTCGGGTTTCGGGTTCTCGGGCCGAAACCGCCCCATTCTACCGTCCTGGGAGGGCAGGGGGAGGGGCCGGCAGTGCCGAGAACCCGTTTACCTTCGCCGCGACGACTCGTCGCAGCGAAAAAAGAAAAATTATCCCGCTAATTCGGTTAACTGATCGATTTCCCCGACGCGGGGGTAGTCCAGGGTAGTCGCGGTTAGACAGCGCGAGAAATCGGATTCGTTTGTTCTCCAGCCGCACTCCCCTATACACTTTCTCCCACGCGACTGCCGCTCTCACCCCCTCGGCCGCCGCGATCGCGAAGAGTTTGATTACCGAATTAATTTTGATGGTACGGAGACCGAGTCTTGCGAAGTCTAACCGTAATTAGCGCGTTCGCGCTATCGCGATAAAGACGCGAGGATCCTTACGTGGCTCCAGTGCTACACTCGCTCTTGCTATACCCGATACCGTATCTAGGACGTAAATAAGCGGCCCAAGTACATCCGTCGTTCGACAAAAAGATCCCACATCTACACGTGTGCTGGTGCACGTGTCCACACCCACCTCCGCCCCCTCTCGAAAAAGGATCCAAATTTCAGCGATACCCACGACACCTTTAGAACTCGCGCGGGTATGAGCGAATTAATCGGCGACGCGACTATCGACAGCGGATAGTCGCGCCAAGTTCAAATCTACTCGCCTTCAAGGACGGACACATGCGCAGAGCCGACAATTGGCCGCTTTTGTTCTACGCATGCGCGATCAAAAACGATGATCGTAAAGAAAATTTTGAAATCCAACTCTAAAGTTGGAAATTACTTTCGAGAATTAAGTAAATGACTCTGATCTTTTTAAGATGAAGTCGATTCGTAATTGATGTGAGAACATGCAGGTATAATAGCTCGATAAATAAATTAACGTTGCAATGAAAGACTCTGCAAGTATAATAAAAGCGCTATCAACCAATCATAAAATAACACGATAAAAACAGCATTAATTTTGCAAAAACTCGAATTTCGCAATTGATGTTAATAGCTTCTAAGATACGGTATGAGATTTATAAATAAAAATATTGGAACGCTATTTGACCTATGAACGTATATTATACAATTAGTTAAATGTAAAATTGCACTCATTAGAATGGACTGTAATTACATCTTTATACAATTAAATTTTTTTAGTACCGATTCCAGTGCAATCTATACACAATGTTACCCAACATCTTTTTGTAACTGTTATTAAATGTACAGATACTGTCGAAGCACGAGATATTTTCGTAATAAAATAAATTTAAGAAATAATTTATTATTTATTCCGTATATCTAACATGTTACATGTTAAGGAAATATCTTTTGTTCTCAAATTTTTCAACCAATGAAGATGGCAGCTTCCTTCATCTTGTCCAGCGCTTTGGCTGTCACTTTAGGGGTAGGACAATAGAAGTCCTATCAGATACTGACAAGCATCATGTTCACACAGATGCAACATCTCCGCATTCCGTTCCTCGGTCTTCCTCCGGTTCCTCCGTCCAGTTTGTAAACATACGAAACCAGTATCCAATCGGGTATTTTAAAAGCGCGGCTCTATGTTCCTCGGAATTTAGCTCTTTTCTTGGATTACATACTGAAACTAATACATACATTGTTAGGCAAAAAAGACGATCGCGAGTACTGTTAAAAATTGAAACAAAAGACTCATATTACATACCAAAGTTAAGGTAGAAAGTTATACTCGCTAGAATGCTATGTATTCTTGGCGAATTCACCCTACAATCGAACCGACAGCACGTCCGTAATATTAAAAATTATGCCTAATTCCCGGATTGGATAAAAATTACATGGTTGTTTGCATGGTTCCAATATTCTGTATATAAGTAATGTCCATCAGCTTCAAAAATCTCTCATCAGTCTCATGGTTCTCGAATTCAAGTCCGTGATTGGAGTCTCTTATGGCATGTAGCACTTCCATCCAGTTTTCGGCGAACTGCCATTCGAAGCCACTCTCTTTTCTTTTTGATATTACCTGCACGAACGATTCTAACACGGCAGGAATCAAATCGTCCATTTTAAACAGTTTCACCCAGAATCTGTTTCTACTCAATGGATTTATATTGGGCATATATTGAAGCAAACTGATTGCTTCCGTTAATAAGTCATCTGCAACGGAGATTTCAAAATTATATTAATTATGCAAAAGGATTCTCTCGTGCAATTACAGTACGTACAATTAGTTGAATACTTTATATTTATAATATAAAGGTTATAGAATCTCCGAAAAAGCTGCATTCCATAAGATGAGCTGCCCAATCCGATTTATCCAGATTTTTACGATTTTTCCAGAGATTCCACACAACCGAGTGTAAGAACTTGATAAGTTGAATCAATATTAACGAATTGTTCGACGTTAAATGGCTCAGGATTCGTATAACTAGCTCTCGGTCGCGGCCTATTGTATCGATGGCCGCTTTATCACTGCTGCATACATTGCCAATGATACCCAAGATTATTTCCTGAAAATATATCTGCAGTTATTAAAACAGCCAAAATTCGTTGTTAAAATAGTTTCAGTAGAACTCAATCGGATGTCATAATAGATAAATCGTACAGTCAATCGTGGTTTGTTTGAAATCACCAATGCCCTCTTTGTTAGCTTAAGAAAATTGTGTAACATAAGATGTGATATATCACTTCTTCTCTCGTACTCAGATCCCATAAAGTACGAAGTCGAATCTTTAGCTCTTTTGTCCAGCCATTTTTGTCAATCTGAAATAAATTACAATATATCAAACACTTTAATCTTACAAGTCTAACAAGGATTGCAAACAGAAAACTTAATTTAAGAAATTAAAAAGAAACAGACTGCAATAAAAAGATCATATCGGATAAACCAAAATTTCAAAAAAAATATTCTGCATAATGTTGCTGTTCAATTCTGACTCGCACAATATTATTATATAAAGGGATCTTTCCAGCAAGCCACACAAGTTGACACCAAACGTTATTTCCTTTTTAGTAATGAGTAACAAAGACAAAACGACACTTGTGTCGACTTGTGTCGCTTGCTGGAAAATTCTCAAAATAGTTAATACTTAAAAAATAATTTTTATAAAAAATTACCTCATGTAGAGACTTCAAAGTGTTGTTTATCCAATTGCTAATGTGGAGATTTTTACCCACGGTATCGTCTCTCGAGATTTCTCAGACTTCTAATTCCTGTTCACTGACATCCTGCGAGTCCATCATGTAGGAAATTCTGCCATGTACCTTCAACATTTTCACATAACCTTATTGAAAGCTAATAAGTAATTCAGAGAGCGTCCTTTATATATATGTTACAGTAAAAGTGTAAAATTTAACAATTTGTAAGTTGTAAATACTGTCCGAAATTAGGATGCGAGTTTTCATATATATGTATATCTTACGAGCTATACTTAGATCACGTTCTAACCTTACGGGCGGACAGGAACTTGGGCGAACAGAAACGAAGGAATAACAGGTACGCCGAACACGTGGTGTCGTAGAAAATAACGCGTACCTTCTCATTGTGTCGCTGACAAAGATTGATGATTCTGCTTGATTCTGTCCCATCGCGAACTGATCTCGAACTGTTTTGGAGTAATCTGGAGTCCTGGACTGTTCCGGACCTGCCGGACCACCACACGTGAGCACGTGACCATGCACGTGACGACGTTGCGCACTCGTTCAGTTTTTGAGCCAATCAGCGCGCGACCCGTTTTGCAAGAAAAGCAATATGGCTGCTCCCGTCAGCACGTGGGTTGACTATGTCTGTCCTTTCGCTCAGATTGCCACAGATTCAACAGATTGCCTACGTTCGGAAATGGTTGACGACGTACCGATACGAAAATTATTCGTCGGCAATTTGGCTGAAAGGGTTTGTATCTTGGCTTTGTTTCTCTCAATTTTTATGCCATAAGTGTTTTGCGGCGGCATAAACAACATTTTAATAACGCACCGATATAATTCTATTTGTTTGACCATCTGTTTGTGTGTTTGTTTGTTTGTTTGTTTGTTTGTCTGACAAATTTTATTCCAGACAACTTTCAAGGACGTACGCAATTGCTTTTCTAAGTATGGAAACGTTGAGAGTTGCTACTTGCATAGAAATCGTAGAAATCAGGAGGAAATGCCTGAGTATAAAAAAAGTAACTATGCGTTTGTCACGTTTACTAAAGTGGAGGATGCAGCGAAGTAAGTTTCAAGGAGGCTACGCTAGCAAATTACTGAAGAACAATGATTGTTTGTAACTAATTGTTTGTAGAGCGATGCTAGCCGGAAGGCTGGTGTGGAGTACCGCGAGGAAGGGGAGGACCCGAATAATCGAAGGAATAAATTTGCACGACAGATGGTTAAAGGTGAAGGCCACAGATCCTTGGCATCAACCTGACTATACAGAGCAGAGATTGTATACGATGGGAAAAGACTCGAACAAAACTTGCGAAAGAAAGCTCAACCTGGAACAATACTTTCACAAGTATCTGCAAAATGACACCGAAAATGTATCCATCCATATGCTGAATGACGATTGCTTGAGACATATCTTCCTGTTTTTGCCAATTAAAGAGAGAGTCCGCATAGAGATAGGCAAGTATCTTAGTCAAACGCATGGTGTGTGTTGAAGATTTTATACATATCGCGTACATTGTTTGCTTTCACCAAGAGACGGATCTTGTACATTATCCCCCTTCTATATTTACAGTTTGCAAGCGCTGGAGAGATTTAAGCCAAGATTTATGGCGTACGATGACGTTCGATCTTTCATCATCTACATGGAATTTCATGTTCGATTATTCAGGGTCCGAATGTCAAATGCATCCACATGGCTTTCATGCATTTTATAAAATATTGCTTAAATATGGCAGATTCTTAACGCGAATAAAGATAGGTCGTTTGCCGCGGTTATCGTGGTTAAGACCAAGCGTGTTGACTGTTATCGGGAAACTTTGCCCTAATCTTACAAGTATCGACGTTACTTCACTGAGAGTTTCCACGCCAGGTATACGTGCATTAGCAAATAATTGTAGACACATAACCAAGTTAAATTTAGGACCATCTACTAAATGTTGTGAGACCGAGTTAAAGTGTCTCTTTAAGCTAAATCAAAACTTGGAATATCTTGCGATAAATGGATCTTGCGATAGCATTTTTGACGAATGCTTATTATGCTTGCCAGAGCAAACTATGCATACAATTATATTAAACGATTGCTCTTTTTCGGACACTCACCTTTCAATGGTAAATAAATTGTTGTTCACTTTTCACTTTTCGATCGGTGATACATTTATATTCGTTATGTCGCGTACAGGTACTAAAGAAGCTCGAAAATTTGAAACATCTCGCGATAAACCGATGTAAGAATTGCTGTGCACACACATTGAAAGTTATCGGTCAGCATTGTAAAAGTTTAAGAACATTGGAGCTCGATAAAAGCTACGTAGAAACAGCGGATATGTTGAATTTAATTCACCTTGTTAATCTGCAAGTTTTGAAAATCACGCACAATCCTAATGTATCGGACGATTTCCTTACCGATTTAGTACAACATTGTCAGCAGCTTACCAACGTAGACATTACAGGTAATGTACAATTATGTATATACATACATATATATATATATATATATATATATATATATGCCACTTTTTTAATCCTATTTTAAAATTATCCTTCGATATCCAACAGGTTGTTCCAACGTGAGCGATGTCGGATTAACGGCTATTGCTACGTTAGTAAGACTAGAAAAATTAAACGTCACTGATATGCAACAAATTACTGACGATGGCTTGAAAAACATGTGTAACTTAAAAGTATTTAAGTGCCGACGATGTCTATTTAGCGATCGGGGCATAACAACGCTCATCCGATCCTCGCCCGAATTACAATTGTTAGATCTCTTCGGATGTAGGAATATTAATAACTCCACTATTGAGGTTGCTAAAGACGTTTGTAGCAGTCGAACTAATAACGTGATGTTGAAGATTATCGTTCCGAGAACAGCAATTCTCACTGAGGAAGGGAGACTGCCTCGGCATATAGTTAACGATTTGCTTGACGATTTGTCTGGTAGCGTGTCTAATCTGTGTCTCGTGGACAGGGGGATTTTTTCAAGTTTCTTGGATGATGAAGTATAGGTGCCTTGGATAAGAACGATGAAGATTCAAGTTATGCATATATTTTCGAAGGTTGAAATTATAGAATATACAAATTATACTGATTATAGACTATATATGTAGACAGAAGATGATAGTACTATAGAGAACCTGATGAATTAGATCATTGGTCCGATTATTAACACTATATCACAATTTTCTACGGTCCTAACCGATTTTTTTCTACCATTAGTCTTACCGTCATTAAGTTCTAAGATTTCGTATGTATTGTTACATGCTGTCTCCTATTACATTACCATTGATTTTAGAGATACTTATTCCCATGAATATAATGCTACAATCAATTACATGAATACACACGCTCGCACAACCGCATGTACACATGTATATATTTATTTTATCAAGTATTATGCGATAATAAAGTGCAATAAAATAAAGCAAACGTAAATTCTTCTTCATCTACCATAAATTCGTACCAGTCTGATCATACATACCTGCTTTATCCGTTCTATAAGAGAAGTCTGTTTTATCGTTCCATTTTCTCCACTCTTTCATGATATTATTATCCGCGCTTAGGTAATTGTTCCAAGCCGCGCGGAGTTTTACATTAAAAAACAAACGTAAAATGAATTTTATTGAAATAGTCTTGTTACTCTTTCTAATAATATCTCTTTTTTTATAATTTTCACGAAATTATTTACTTATTTATGCTTATTTATGCACGACAGTGCATACCTTTAATAATTTAATGATAAGAAATAAAGGTTATATATATAAAATTAAACCAAAGATATTGATTATAAATTCTATATTATAATCATAAATCCACACTGTATTGTAATAAAATAGAATCAGGTAGTACAAAGATTTAGAAGCTGTATAATTATCGAATAACATAAGATTTTAGACGTAAACATACCATTTTAGATATGAACATACCATACATAAAGACTGATTACTGATAAATAATAATACATACAAATACACAACATGTAAAACACCTAAGACGTAATACGTAATTAATAATTAACATTCAACTAATAGAGTGTGAATTTATTACAGCCATACGAATTGATCAATATAGATTAGAATCCTCCAACTCCAACAAATCAAGAAATATACTGATATATAGTATCAGCGTTCACCGCTACGTCGCGCATGAGGTAGAACCATAACTCGTATTTAAAATACAACCACGTAGTCTATATAAGAGGTACGAAACGAGTTCAACGCTTAAATATAATCCACTTGCCGTTCGGATTCGGCGTTAAACTGTAGGTCCCCCTACAGTCCCATGTGCTGGAGAGGCGGTAATAACCTCTAAGGCACATGAGGCCGTAGGGCACGCTATACAGCTCCAAGAGTAGAGCTGAAGGCGTCATTAACTCCAACCGGAGTTCATAACCTTAAAAAAAAAAAAATTGCTGGGCGTAGGGGCATAGGGTCCGACTCAAACAATGCGCCATTGAAATAAACTAAATGAAAATTATTTATATATGTACTTACTAAAATTTTAATATGGCAGAGGCCAGAGGCGCGCGGGCAACAAGAAATGATCATCTACCCGCTACCGGAGATAGTTCGTTGTCCCCGGTGCTGGGTGCTGGGTGGGCGAGAGCGACCACCTTAAACCGCAGGGCGAGTATTGCGTGGCTCACATCGCGAAACATGAAAAGAAAATGCATCCGAGGGACTACATAAGCTATAAGTGCTCCGTCTGTAATTATATCGGCAAAACAGCCGTGCCGTTAAGAAATGTTAAAGCTCGCTCATTATGAGCGAGAGCACAGCGGTCCCCGAGTGCAGAAGCCGGGTCGCAATACTGCCGGCGCAAGTGCCGGGCTACACGGGTATCATTGGCGACGACGTTCATCCTGGTCGCGGCCGTCCTCCGGGGCTGTCGCAACGTCGCGCGTGCGACTCGCGGCCACCCGGGGCGCACACCACGTCCCAGTGCATCAACATCCGCAGCATCGCGAACACTAGCACCATCATCGAGATCGCCATCTGCAAGCACATCATCCGCAGGGACATGTGAGTCCCCCGCATATACAGCCGTCATCGCCGCAGCATCACCGGCGGCACGTCGACCATCTTCGTCGCCGGTGACGGCCGCAGTCAGTCACTGCTACCAGCTACCAGCTGCAGCGGCGGGAGCGCCGTGCCACGGGCGACAACTTAAGTCGACTTTCACCGAAACTGATTTATTGGCATGAAAATGAATGTTATATGTAATTAACAGAAGTATATATTGAGTAAATCTTCAATTTTTGTTTTCAAAGTATGAGGGGCTATGAATTAATACTATATCGAACTTTCTCACGCTCATTTAATTTTCAAAAATTTAACACTTAATTTTCAACATCTTAAATCATCTTCTGACTGCTTAACATTGAGTTCAATTAGATACTAAAGTTGATTTATACAGAGATATTACTGTTCGATTGCTTAGAATCAAGATTTTCATTCTTTTTTGTGACACAGCAATTAATACCATTATTTTGAAATATCGGCGATAAATATACTTGGCAAAAATACTTGATAAAAATACGAGACACGATTTCACATTTAGAGAGATGTTGATTATCGGAGAACACACAGTGCTCAGATTTCGCAAATTATAACTTCAATAAATATATTACATGTCAATATTACGTTACATATCGTAGTCAGACGCCGCACACTCACACATACATAGGTTTGCAAAAATTTATAAATGGCAGATATGTCAACTTTTCAATTTAAGTTAAAGATTAATTCATTTAAGATGCACACGCCTTTAAAATATATCTTTTACCAGTGAGACGAGCGTAACTTATAGCTTATCCGCATTATGCCAATACGCTATTATGAAAAATATATTAGGAAATGTACTTAAGTTAAAACATATGTTAATTGTAGAATGAGTTAGAAAGTCTTCGTATTTTGAAACACGGAGCGATCACGTATGCGTATGACGTTTACACCTTCGGGTAGGTGCGTACATGTACACGCAGGCAGGTAAAAAGAGTATCGATGTAGACGGTATTATAAGATATTTTGTAGTATCTCCATCGGCACCCGCATCGTTTGATCGTCGACGAGAACGATATCGAACTTTTCCATAAATGAGTCTAAGCTCGCCTCCACCTGGAAAAGAAACGAGATCAGTCACTGTATCTCGATAATTAGCATCCCACTAATCGAGATACTTACGTGATCGTACAGGAATCCAATTTTCAGGACTGCCTTAGTGTCTTTTAGTCCCTCCACCATGTTGGCGTCGCCGATCGTGTCGCCCATTAACAACACATTATGTCTCTTTTGAAGTAACTTGAGATAATGTTCTGCCAGTGCACACTCATTCTTGTTGTACACGTGTATGAGCACGTCGTTCTTAAATCCATCCAATTGATTGCCATTATACTTGAGAAAGTTGGAGATTATTTTTACATTGTCGAAGAGAGCATTGTGGTACCTCAGCACAGCCTCCACTATATCACCCAAACCGGCGCTAAACACTACAATCGGCACTCTCGCATTGTACAGTTTCTGAAAAAGCTCTTCCGTACCATCGCGCAATATATTTTCGAACGCTTGGGCCACTTCCTCCAATTCGTGAGGATCAAACTCGATGCCTTTCAACAGATCTTGTGCAGCTGTCATCCAGTCGCGCATAGCGTCTGCCTTCTTGTTCACAGGCATATCCGGATCTATTTCCATTGGTCTGTACTTATTGTACAGATGCTTAGCTTCGTCTAAATACTGCTGCGGCAATTGCTTGCATTTTCGGAACATACCTGAAATTAAATTTCAACGTTAAGTTACCGCAGAGCTGAACAGAAACCGACGAATCACAAATTTGAACAATTATAAATCTCAATTATGATAGACAACTTGTGAACTTGCAAGGGAAATCAGCAAGCTTGTGAGAAAGAGCTTATAATAAAAATAAAAACTACATTTTTTTTACACAATAAATTATTATTTACTTACCAAAGCTGCTAAGTACATCCCTGCCGTCTATGTGTTGCTTCGTAACGGTCAAGTCGAAATCCGTGACTATCTGCACACAGGTAATCGTAGATTAACCTAATGCTGAATTAAAAGGTGATTGTAAAGGCGTAAATATAAGAGCGCATACCTGCAGATTATTCGCGCCGCCTTGCTGTATCGCATTTATCGTCTTCAGGAGCGCGACTTCGTCCCTGATGTAAACATGTCTCGACCTCAAAGCGGGAAACTGCAAACGGAGAATATGTTTCGTGATGCCGAAAGGAGAACGCGTCATTGAGGGACGGTCGGACGTTTTACTCACTTCGTCGATCGTAAATTCGTTGCTCATCTTCGTCGGTGATGCGGAATCGCGCGGAGGTTCCAGAAGTTCGAAGTCGACCTCTCAAGTCTCAAGTCTCAAGTCTCAAATCGTTCACCGTCCCTCGTCTCGTGCCAACGTGCGTCGCACGTTGCACGTTGCCACCACGAGCAACCACCACCACGAGCCACGAGCCTGCTAACCAACAACAAGGGAGTGCGCATGCCAAAAGTGCGCTGCTTTTCCTCGTTATACCGGGTGTCCCGTAACACATGTTCGCCTCTCCCTGGCACGAAAGTCGAGTCACGTAATTTCGCTCGATGTGAATTCTTTCTTCAATAATATTGTCATCTTTCTTCAATAAAACTGTTATCTTTAAGAGATTTCCAGTTAGGAAGATCTATGCGATTTTAAAATAAGATTCAAGAGACCGTAACGTGGATATATATATCCACGTTATATATATATATAACCACACGTTTATAAATTGATATAAATGTTAGAAGTAATTAACAATGTGTCAAATACATAAAAACGAATAACAATGAAACATATATGCTAAATTAATTTATTCGATAAATATATTACATGCAGCATATGTCTACATTTTTTTTGTTACAATTTTTTGATATATATATTTTGTATATATAATATAGTTATAATGAAATCGATTATAATTTAATTTTTGTATGTAAAAAAAGAAAGAGATATTTTCAGATATATATGCTTTATACATGACACTTATTATATGGCAGCAAAAGGCATATAATTTCCTTTGATACATATATGTTGTAAGCATTAAATCTAATAATATTGTCAATAATGTAATATTAACAATATTATTTTATTGAAATCATTGTGTTAATTAATAATAATAATATAAAAAAATACCATTACAAATCGTCAAAAATATGAATTTTAATAAGTACGTTAATAATTCGTAAAAATAAGTACGTCGTTAATTATTCCTTATCTTTATTTTTTTTTTATTTCTCTTCATTTACTCCGAATAACAATATTATTTTATTTATCTTATTCTCAATCTTTTTCACCGACTTTTCATCTAATATACGTTTATGAACAAGCAACTGCAAGAAATAATCCTTTTCGTCATAAAACGGTTCAATTAAGAGTACGAGATCTTTTATAGAAGATTTATACAGATGTTTAATCATGTTCAACCAGGCTTCCTCCAGGTTTCTTAACAAGTTAGGTAATGACGACTGTAAATTTAATAACCGTGTTGCTTTTGGATTACTTATACTATAAGCTGGATCGTACAATAAAATTGTTAATTTGTTATCATTTTCCAGAGCGTCTAAAAACTTGTCAGAATCTGATTTCAGTGTTTTTGATACTACACCTAAAACTATTATACACAATATGGTTAGAAAAAACATATTACTGCATTAATTATCCACAATGCAACAACGAATTTTAATACCTATTTTAAGACTTGAAATTGTGCGCATCAAAATGTTATTTATGCGATGTGACAAATTGTATTCCAAATATGGCAATAGGTATGCATATTTGGAAATTAAATCAATAATTTTAGGTCGTTTATCAGTTATCAGTTCTGAAAGTAAAACTTCCCGGTATGGATCGAAAACACAAACTAAGCATTCCACTATTAAGCCGTGTAAATTCAATTCATTGTAAAACACAGCTATCTTTGTTTTCATAATCGTCATTATTGATAGCCAATTGTAGGTAAGCTCTAAATTTATCTGTTTCTCTCTTTTACGTTTCCATTCTACCATTTGCTTGCAACGGATCGTTATTTTATAAATTATATCATTTATATTGATAGAGACTCCATTTACATGTATTTCCTCTAGAAAATTAGATTGATTCGAATTATCGTTTGCAGATCGATTCAATTTTGTCTCAGCCATTTCCTTGACCAGGTCAATGACTGTTTCTATTAACTTTTCTATAAAAAAAAAATTTAACACATTAATCGGATTGCGCTCTGCAAAACTGATTCTCTTAGGATATATTTCAATAAATTAGTATACCATTAGATTCGGTAAATTCAAACTCAAGTATAACGAATATAGAGCGTCCAAGAGATTCATTTTTCTTCAAGTGCCCTGATGCACACCTCAACCAACTTGGTGCACAATTGTTTCGGATCGTGTGCACTGCTACTTTTAAGAATCTCAGAACACTCAATTGTAGCAACTCGTGTTTGGATTTTAAATGACTTAGGATAGATGATACAAAACTTAGGTCATTGCCTATTATGAGAATCATTGTTTCATCCTTGCTGCATACATTATTAATAATACAAATCACTATTTCCTAAAAAAAAAATGTTTACGGATTAACGTTAAAATAATTTCATTAAACTACTTTAGAAATAACAATGGAATATTTGCGATAAAGATGAATGTAGCATACAACAACATCTGGTTTACTGTTCACAGCATTCAACATTTCTTGCAATATATTTGGATGATTTACAAAATAATTTGCCATAATGGTGTTTTCGCTCATGGTCAATACATGTTTATATCTTCGCATCATTACTTCCGGCTTATCATTTATCTGAAATGAGTTGCACTGCACAATTTGTATACGTATCTCAAGAGCTTTATAGTATTATAAATTTAATAAAAAATAACCCAACAGCATCAATAAAAATATATTTCTTGCTGCACTTCTAATTTTATATATTCATTTACATTATCCTAATTATTAAACATATTCATTTTTCATTGGCATTATCTAAATTATTTTTCTAATACTGTTTTATCAGTAATATGTCCCGAAAGAATATTTTAGCTCTGATCAAAATAACTTATATCTATTGTATTCGCAGTAAACAAAAAATTTCCGAAAAAAGAAGAGTATTGCACAAAGAATATTCTTCCGAAATGCTACATTATTATCCATTAATGATACCAAAAATTATAGATCGCAAATTTCAATAAAACTTATTGATAAAATTAAAAATATTAAATAATTCCGAGCAAAGTCGTTGTTTAGGATATACTACCTTTGGCTCCTAAATATATATACACAATAGCAATTGCAAATGGTATTTGTACAAATGATTACCATATCAGGAAGTTTGGATATTAAGGTTTTCACGTATTTTTTCGCTGTAGCGATTTCTACGACCACCACTTCGTCATCAATGTTATCAGACATCTGGTCTATATATTGTGCGAAAAAATTTGTGATGCTTTCTCTTTTGTGTGAATTTCTTCTATATTCCTATTTCTATCCTACAGATTTTTCACATAAATTGTCACCAGCTTTTTAATTCTGCATTATATCGTTATTTGTTTCCCCTTGAGACTTCTCTGAAAAAAATTTCGATTCAAATTTTTTTTATATTATTAGTATAAAAATTTCTGCCCAAATCTTATTGTTGAACAGGAAAATTAACAATTTGACAATCGTATTCGATTAACAGAGATTCGCGGCAGAGATTCTAAATTATTTTGCAGTTTTGTCTCTTAAACGTACTCGTGGTAGGTATTCTTGCCATTAATATATTTTTGGACAAATACTTATTCATCATATTCGCGTTCGGGTTCGCGTGCGATTAATCTTGTTGCTGAAGAGTAAAAATTTTTAATTCATTTGTAATCCATTCGTGGCAAAGATTCTAAATCATTTTGCAATTTTATCTCTTAAACGTATTCATGGTATTCTATTCCTATTTTTTTTTAGATTTAGATATTTAAATCATCTAAAATTTGAGCGTTTGTGTAATTACAACGTACTACGTTAATCTAATTATCATGGAATCGAACTTTTCTTGCTGCTACAATCACGGGACTCTCTGCCTGAATCTTCATGCTAAGTAGTTGAAATTGATAATTTTTCTGGCGAAGAGTCGAACGGTGGACGTGCGAAAATCATCTCACAAGCGCGATCGAGAGACTCTATAGTAAAGATTTCGATCTGTTACGACTTTGTTTCTCACCTGATATACAGATATCGTGTTTGAGGTCGTCCCTTAGTCTGTAACTTACCGAAATCGACTAGTTACTAATTGCTTTCTGTAACATCGAAGTTGAGAGTTCCCAAAATATTGCCGTTATGACATTCAAGGATATATCCGTGGCAGTAAATAATAAACACACGTTGCTCGGAACTAGAAACTCGCGATATTTAAGTTAGGGCCACTTCGACCAAGCTCCGATTAATTTAATCGTTGATTAGTCCAATGGAAATGACCAATCGCATTTGCTCATGAAACAGATTGACAAATGACTAATCAACGATTAAGTTAATCGGAGCTTGGTCAAAGTGGCCCTTAAAGTACGGGTTATAATTTACGAGACAGTCCAATTTCAACATCGAAAGTATGTTTTTTCGACATCCAACTTATTAAAAAAATATATATTACGTTGTACGCCGGTTTTTATTGCATTCTCTTTACTTGAAAAGAAAGTTTTAAAAGCGACCTTGAGACCAAACTCCGACAAACTCCTTAATTGTCGATTAAGTTGGTAATCTAATTTAATTTATATTTTATCGGCATAGATTAATTAATCGTCATACATATATATGATCGACCCCCAGGCCGATCCTGACATTCTGAGAATTTGCCCTTAAATGCGCATCAGGGCATCCAACGTAGGCTGCGGTCCACTTGACGCTATATACAAATAATTGCTTTGAAGCGTTCTTCTTCTTCTTTCTTCATTGAAAGAAAGAAGACGAGGAATATGCTTCGAAGCATTTGTACCGTCAAGTGGACCACAGCCGTAATTCCCTAACGCTCAACGGACGGAAACCTGTTTACGACGTATGCGCATTCGTTTTGAAAACTTCTCTCGCGTCCCGTAGGCGCCAAAACGGGAGAAGAAAAAACAAGATGCATGATTTCATCGCGCATGATATTGCGTAACGATATCGTAATCATGAATATAAAACTCGAACCTTTTATTCTCTCCGCGAGTCGCATGAAGTTAGCTTAAGAAATTAGACGCGCGCTCGTGGCGGCCGGCAGTCGTGGCGCACGCGCGTCTAATTTCTCGCGGAATGACGTCAGCGGCAAAGTCGCCCCGTTCGGCGAGGGGCGAGGAGGGCGTATCGGACGATCGTCGGCGATGGCGATGGCGGCCGAGGGTGGCCGAGGAACGACAGATGGACGGACGGCATGACGGCTGGAGGGGGCGACGAGGGGGGGGGGGTACCGCGGAGTCGTACACGTGTGCGCGGGCGCGCGCAAGTGTGTGTGAGACTCCTTTGGCGCGGTCGTGGCGGTGCGGTTGCTGGTGTGCGGTGCTGCTGGGTGCTGCTGCTGTGCTGCTGCTGTTGGTGGTGCGGAGGTGCGGACCGTGAAGCGGCCGGAGTGAATCTGGCCGGAGTGTGTCAGTCGGTTGGTGAATCCTGTCGGCGTTGCTCGGCGCACATTGCACGTTGCGAGTGTATGATACTGCGGCGGCGGCGGCGAGCCGATAGCGAGCCGATAGCGCAAGCCGTGAGTCAGAGATCGGTAGCCGACGAAGGTGAAGAGGGTGCGGTGCCGTCTGCAGCGGGCTCCTCCGCTGCTCCATCTCGTCGTCGTCGGTGTCGGCGAGTGTCTGCTGATCGCACGCTACTGGTCCATGTGCTCTGCTGACTAAAATGCTCATCAAGGAATTGTAAGTGCGGCGCGGGGGACGGTTACGGGGGCGGCGGAGGAGGAGCGAAGAACGGTGACGGTGACGGTGACGGTGATGGTTACGGGGACCGCACCGGAGCAAGGGGGCCTGTCAGGTGCGCGCCGCGCCGAGCGGATTTCCGAAATTCGCTCCTGGCCACGGCCAACGCCGTGGGCCATCAGCGCAAGCGAAATTCAAAAACCGATCGGCACGGGACACGATGACTGCTGATCTTTAACGGCGGCTGGTGAAGGAGGTGGTGGAGGAGGGAGAGGGTTGGAGAAAGAGAGACGGGGAGCGAGAGGGATGGTGGCCCTCATCCCTTACCGCATGATTCCAGAGGTCTGCTCGCGCTGGTTGCACTTTCTGCACTTCTCTCTCCCTCTCTCTCTCTCGTTCTCTCTCTCGCTCTCGCTCTCTCCTTAACGAAGCTTAAAAATATACGACGGTTCCTGGCCAGTAGCGGGAAGTAGTGCGAGAAAAGTGCAGCTTCCCGAGAATCTCGGCTGACTTTAGGCTTCCCCGGCATCGACCGTCCGCGTACGATGCGGATCGACACATGCGTTCAGTTTTTAAATCCCTCGCGAAACTTATCGATCAGCGCCGATTTCTGATGTAATTACATGAGATCGGCCGGGCGATACGTGCACCTCGCGGCGGCGATGACGCGTGCCCTCCTGTGACTCAAGGACACGGTTGCGTTATCCGTGTGTAATTTCCTTCGCCTCCTTCTTGCCTCCCGATATGTAACGTAACGCTGACATAATCCGTTATTTGTCTGTTACAGCCGTGTCACTCTGCCCCTCACAGTGGAAGAGGTACGTGCCTGATCTTTCCCAGGAGTTCCATTCCTCGTAATGACCCCCTGGTTTGATACCTGTCTGGATACCTGTCAGATTGCATAAAAAGACAGTTGATACTAATCTCTTAGCACTGCCGTGCAATCAAGAAAATTCGCCAATCATCTAATTATCCTCCGCATGGCACATGTGCCATGCCTCTCTGAGTACTTATGTGGAGTTATCTTGCATAAACAATGTTGCATTTGTAATTAGAAACCTTTTTTTGTCGCACAGACACACGAGTTTCTTTGTTATCTGTTGTTTAGACTATGTTTCTATTTTTCTATTCTCATTATCTGTTTGTCTCAGGGAGGGATAATAAAGTGATGTCCAACAGAGATATCTTATAATTGTCGTTGCATGCGCGGTATCAATTCTAGAAATAGATATAGACTCTACAGTGGACTTTAAATCTTTTCTTGTTTGCGCCTTTTGAATGGATAAATTGTAATAATAAATAAACTCCAATAAAAAGAATTGATAAATGTTAGTGCTCAAAAAACAAGTCAAAGTACACGTATAAATCATGCCTGCAAGGCTTGTGGAGTGAAATTATGTAACGGGCTTAACCTACCTCGGAAAATATTGAGAATTTATACACTAATTTTTTTCCTCTCTCTTTCTCTCTCTTAACAGTACCAAGTAGCTCAACTGTATTCTGTAGCAGAGGCTAGTAAAAATAATACAGGCGGCGGAGAAGGCATTGAAGTATTGAAGAATGAGCCGTTTACGGATTATCCGTTACTCGGTGGAAAGTATTCATCAGGCCAATATACATATAAGATTTATCACTTAGCTAGTAAAGTGCCTGCTTTTATTCGCATTTTACTGCCAAAGAACTCGTTGGAGATCCACGAAGAGGCTTGGAACGCTTATCCCTATTGTAAGACAGTCATAACTGTAAGTGTTGCGCGTATATTCACGTATAAATATATGAAATATTACGTTTAAATATATCCACATAAATGTTACTTTGATCTTTCCGCAGAATCCAGGGTATATGAAGGACAATTTCGTGATCATGATAGAATCCTTTCATATCGGCGATGTCGGCAATCAGCATAACGTAAGTGCTATGAGATTCGACGAGTAGGTTTCATTCGTTTACGTGTGTTTTCTTCTCACGAACTCAGGTGCACGAATTGCCGCCCGATAAGCTTAAAATCAGAGAGGTAGTGCATATAGATATTGCCAATGATCCGGTCGCCAGTGCCGATTACAAGGAGGACGAGGATCCGTCTAAATTCAAGTCCCAGAAGACGGGACGGGGCCCACTCGTCGGGAAAGACTGGAAGCATAATGTTCAACCTGTGATGACGTGCTACAAGCTAGTCACCTGTGAATTCAAATGGTTCGGTCTGCAGACTCGCGTCGAAGGATTCATTCAGAAGGCGGAACGCCGCCTGTTCACCAATTTCCATAGACAAGTGTTCTGCTGGATAGATCGTTGGTACGGTTTAACTATGGAGGATATTAGAGCAATTGAAGACAATACGAAAGAAGAATTAGACAGGGTAAGCGATTGCGCTCTCTTCAACTCTCCCGTTTCAAATTTATTCGATTTTTTGCTTTGTGAGAGATTTTTCTTCCGTTTGTTGAAAGTCAAAATTTTCGATCTCTTGAAACGTTCTTTATATGTTCAATTGCAGCAAAGACATCAAGGTGAAGTACGGGGTATGCGAGCTGACGATTGAGGCTTCGATAGCTTCTATTATGAACGGTTAAATCAATTTCCTTATACATGTACACACAAATACAGACGCATACCTACAGATGTACACCCTGTTACGCTCTGTCATAGACGATTCCACAGGATTCGGACGATTTCTGGAATTTACGTGTCTATAGATTCAGTGTCTATTACAAATTACTTACTATTTTAATTTATTTTACATTTACAAGCGTTTTAGATAAATGTATCTACAGTCAAAGATTATTATAATGTAGTTATTATTATAAAAAAAAAGAGACAAACGAAAGGAATCAGAATTATCTGGTTCTCTTGTTTAATGCATAATTATAAAAAGAATCTGGTTTCGTGAAAACCATCATAGATAAAAAAAAAATTATGATTACTTAACAGCAGTTCGTAGTTCGATAATAATAGATATTGGAGTTCAATTAACGAACAAAATGCTTGCTGCGAGGAGTACATAAAGAAAAAAAAAACAAAGGAAAATATGTGATTTAACATCGCGAGTTTGATCGTAGTTAAATAGTTAAAAATTCCACAGTTTAATATATTAATGTACAATTGAAAATCTAAATGTTGCATATTAACGATCTGTATTTCGAACTATTATTTCGACCGAAAGTGTAATGTATTAGATCGTGTATTTTCGAAAGAAGAAAAAGCAGAGTAGTATTTTCTCAATTCTACGAAAGTGTATATGTGATCAGGAAGCTCGATTCGAAAAAACTTTATAAGAATCTTCAATGTGTATCTATAGTTATTTCGTGGAATTCTCGATGATTCCGCGAGGCAAGGTACTACGGTAGATTTCAACCTACAATGTTCCTCTATTCTTTCGTTCCGTTCGTTATCGACGAGCGCGAGACGTGTATATGTATCTATATCCCCTAAAAAGTTAGGACCAAACTGATGGATTTTTTAATTATACTGCGATGCTAACAGTAACGTATTAACATACTACTCTAAATTGTTTACTGACGACGGGAGGGGAGAGGTGATGTATTCTATGTAAAGTGCTCACACTGATATACATATACACACATATGTAGAGAAACAGAGTTTAGGCTATTTCAATATTGGTGACAGCGGGTGAATGACGAAAGGGTGCGTTATTGTATATATATATATAAAAAAAAGAAAAAGAGGTATACACACAATGAAATTCAAATTATATATATATAATGTTTCTTTGCATTCCAATGGATCTCTGAGTACAACCGACGAAGTATTCTGGGACGCTGCTCGTAACTCATTACAGACTGTTAAATTATCCTCAAATTTTAAGTCTTTCAAATTTTAAGTCTATTATACGGTGATGAGAAAAAACATCATGACGATAAAAAAAGATAATTAGAGACAAGATATCTTAAAGTTTGTTTTGAAAATAATTATATTTATTTTCGCTAAATCGAATCCTCAAATGAGAGTAAAGAGTCTTTTAATGGGTTGTACACTAACGTGTAATCGCAGCAGCGTTCTTACCTAGCGATAGGATCTCTAATTAAATATACGAGTGAAGATTGAAAAAACAATAATGGAGTATATAATTTAACTGTCATCTGCACAAAGTAAATGTATTCTCTGTATTTTCTCGTTGGAAGGCATGTAGTCTAAGGTAGCTTTTATCTTCGTATTCACGTACGAAGTATGTGGTAGCCACGACGGTGCACACAGTATTTGTACTCAATGTACCGGACATACATACGAGAAACAGAGAAAACTGGACATGTATTTATTCGCCATTTTATCGACGAGGGAAAACCGATCGAAATAAGGCACATCTGTGTCGTTCAAACAAGCTCGTAACTTTAATGGAATCCGCCTTTGTTCCACGACTGCGACTCATTCGTTTTGTTAAGACATGAGAGTTTCTCACACACGTACGCGAGTTTACATTACACCTGTTATCCTACGATAATAGTTACTTAAATAGATAGGCTCTAGCTGTTCCTAGACATGCGACAAGCAGGGTAGAGAAGAGTCGTGGATATAGAGAGAAAAAAAAGGAGAGGAAGAAAAAATTCCGTATCGCTGCCAAAGGGCTAACAGTGAAATACCAGATGAGTATGTGTATGTGTATATATGTATATATGCACGTGTATAATGCGTTTCCTTTTCTTGCATACATACGTATATACGTACGTGTATGTGCATGTGTGTGCGCGTATGTGCGTATGTCTCGATCCAGTCAAGTATTTAGTCAAGAGTTAATAAAATTAGAAGGCATAGCATATGAAATTTATTTCGACTTTTCTCTTAATATAAAAATATAATTAATTAATATAGAGAATATATATATATATATACAAAATCTAATATGATATGCAATACGTACAAAATATATTTTGCTCTCTCTTTGGATATAAAAGAAAGATACTGGAGGATTTTATCTTACGTGCGTGAGTCGTGCGATCTCAATTGAGGCCGTACTCTTTGACGAGATTCGCGGCGATCACGAGTCTCTGGATCTCCGACGTGCCTTCGTAGATCTCCGTGATACGCGCGTCCCTGTAATGACGTTCCGCCGGCATATCCGACACGTATCCCATCCCTCCCAGAATCTGTATGCATTGATGGGCGCAGAACGTGGCGGTTTCCGATGCCGACAGTTTGGCCATGGCGGCTTCCTAGCGAATAAGAAATTATCTTGATTAGTAGATGGAAAAACCAACGAGAGAGCCAGATCGCAAGATGTGTGAAAAATTTACTTGCATATGATATCCGCTTCGGACTTTCTCAGTTCGCGACTGAGGAAAATGCAAAACGGACGGACACAAGTTTGACAAAACAATCGTACATCGATATAAATTTTAACATCTGCAATCTGGCTCTTATTATTATTAGGCCTTCTATTTGAAGATTTCAAAAAAGTCTGTTCATTCTCTGTAAAAGTTACCCCACCTTTTTTCTCATTTAAATTTTCGATTATTTTAGTACTGATCTGTTGATAATTAAACTGTTGATAATTAAAGCTTAAGCTATCGTGACTACTTGAAGATTTCTATGCCATTCACATGAAAGCGCGAAGTTTACTTTATCTGATAAGATATTATACAAACTGTAATCAATAGAAAAATATATATGGGCTAAGATAAGGAACGTCATATTAAGAGTAAATATTCCAGTAGAATGAAACAATATTTATATATCTAAATATTTATAACGCACCTTCGTGTACGATTTACCGCTATCCTTAAGCTGAGCCGCTCGCCACGTCAGCAGTCTTGCACTTTCCAGTTTCAGAGCCATGTCAGCGATTTTTTGTTGAATTGCCTGCAGCTTGACGATCGGCTGACCGAAGGCTTGGCGTTTGGCTGCGTAATCCATCGCGCAATCCAGAGATGCTTGAGCTATGCCCAACGCCTGACTGGCGATTCCTATTCTGCCAGAATCTGAGAGATAAAATCGAATGTTACATCGAATAACTATTACCGGTTCGTTAAAATTCGCGTGATAACAATCGTGTGTACCTAGAGTCATCATCGCGATTTTAAAGCCCATTCCTGGTTTGCCTAGGGTGTTATTTTGCGACACTTGACAGTCCTCGAAGATCAAGGAGCAAGTGCTGCTGCCTCGTATACCCAATTTATCCTCCTTCTTGCCCAGGCTCAGACCCGCCGTCGGTTTGTCCACTACAATAGCGCTTATACCTTTGTGCTTCTTGGACTTGTCGGTCGTCGCAAAGAGAACTATTCCATTGGCTTCATATCCGTTTGTTATCCACGACTTGGTGCCGTTAACCGTGTAAACGTTGCCGTCCGCTTTTGCAGTGGTGGACGCCGCACCGGCGTCAGATCCGTTACCCGGTTCACTGAGAGCGAAACAGCCGATCTTCTCGCCGCTTGTAAAAGGAATGATGTATTGTTCTTTCTGTTCGTCGGTCCCGAACGCGTTTATGGGGCCTAAGTAGAGGGAATTTTGCACGCTCATTATAACGCCGGCGCTCGCACAACCTCTGGAGATTTCCTCCGTGGCTATGGCATAGGCCAGGTAATCCAATCCCGTTCCACCCAGTGCTTCAGGAACGCACAAACCCATGAGACCCAACTCGCCCATCTTCTTGATCTGCTCCGTGGGAAAAAGATGCTTCTTGTCAATTTCTGCTGCGACAGGCTTCAATTCTTCCTCGGCGAAGTCCCTGCAATTACGAATTTTTAATGGCAATGATAAACTTTATTCAACTGTACGGTAATTAATTATATCTGTATAAAATACACAAGTATAATTTGTCGCCTGTGTAATACCGTAATACCTGCACGTTTTGTACAGCATCTGATACGTGTCTGGCAGCATAGAGAGCGAGGCAATGTGTCGGTTGACATTGTTGACAGTGCACGTAGCTCTCGGCACGTTGTTTGCTGCGAATCAATATAAACGTAATCCACTACTAAATAGCAATCCACGTTCAATAATATTAGAATTGGACAATATTTGACACCCACCAAGTAATCTCAAGCACTGCATTGCCATTGTTGTTTCTGTGCTGTCGTTGACGTTCGACTTATGGAACCGTCCCAAACTGTACTTTCGAACTTTGACCCGAGAGTACGATCAATCGCATACGGTACGATACATCCCACGCGTACATGTATCACGCTGAATTATGCATAATGCTATTAATAATTAGCAGTCTTACAATTATACAGTAGTCAGTTATATACTGTGCAGCTCTGTGTTTACGTGATGGACTAGTTGCAGTTGCAGATCGTAAGACTGTAGACCAGTCGTAGATTGCTATGGAATCTACCTATCACCGGCCGATAAAGTTGACGTATGTACAGAAACGAAAATTTGGAGGACAGTTCGAAGGCAATCATGTGTATATATCAATCGAGACGAAAGAATTCGAAATTACGAATAAGCGAACAATGCATATTAAAATTGTTGACAAACAAAGCCGAGAGATATAAAACAATATATATGTATGTACACGTTGAAGTATGTATGTACATTTTGCTTCCTCATAGAGGAAGTTTTGTTTTCGTAAATTCGTATATAAAAAAATTTCGAGTTGTGAGAAAAGCGAGAATCGCGAGTTTGGAGTCGTCTGTAATTCCTCAGAAATCGCTCCTGTTACGCGGGAAGCATGATGAGCAAGGAAGTTGC